CGTTTTACACGCCATAATATGGTGTTTATATATCCCAACTTATTACATTCTCAAGGTTATGCTCCGAGTACGATTAATTTTTAAGCGAGGCAGGCTACCGACAGATAAGTTTGTTACAGGGAGTACTTATTTGCTATGGTCGCTTTGTTGACCTTTTTTCACAAATATAATATCGCATATTTGAGCTCGTCTCACAATATGCGTCGTTATCAAAGCTCTACCCTGTTATTAATGTCATCATTCGCCTCTTATTTTACGAGAAACTGATGATTGAGTAGTAAAGTCGGAATTTTGTTATCCACCCATACAGTGTCGGTACTTAGTCACTATGTTTCCGGGTTATCTCCCCTTTTCTATGCATCAATCAAGGTGGGTGATGAAAGTATCTGATTTAATTTTTGCATTTTGAAATAGTCTATCAGAATTTGTTTTTTAAAGTTAATTTTCAGTCAAAATAAGTAGCATTAATTATTTTATTGACATTTATTTTGCTCGAAGGCGAATATTTAATTGGATGGAAACAGATCGATTTGCCACACCGTCCTTCCATATTGTACTGGCACATGTTACAAGGGATAACAATGGCAATAACCAATTTCATCAACAGATTTTGAATAAAGAAATGTCATTTAGTTGAATAATCGTAAAAAAAGAGCGTGAAAATGATGATTATTAAACTTCAAATTTATTCGTTACCCTTCTTCAAGGTCAAAAACGTATCTGGATATTTACATGATTTAGATACTTTAGATGTCCCTTTGCCACAATATTTACAGTAATATCCATATTATTCTCAAAGTGGCTTCTGTAACATAAATTTGTTATATATATTTATCAGTTTAATACTTGAAAACATTTAGTGACAAAAGAAAGGTTATTGTACAAGGATAGTGCTACCCTGTACCTTTAAAGCAGTAAATAAATACAGATTGAAAGTTAATTAAAATACAGTAAATCTATTGCAGTGCATCCAAATATTATATAGCTGAATTCACAAAGGGAAGTACTGTAACTATTTTAAAGTGTATATGTAGATAATAGTTTATTTCCAAACAAGCCCCCCCCCCCCCCTCCTCGAGAGGCATGAAAAAGATACATTTGTATACAAATGCAGTAATTAATTGTGATATAGAAACATGTAAAGTAAAATGCATGCAGAGCAAGTCGTTGTGCTTTACAATGTTGCATTACAATAATGCATTATAATATGTATATGAATAAAACATGAAGTAGATGTGTAATTGTACAATATATTTACTATTGTCACATGTAGTGGCAAAACTCTAAGGTAGGTAAAAATGAATGATGACTTAATATATTTGAGACATAGATATCAGTTGGATGGAAGCATTACAATGAGCAATTCAGGCTATTTAAAATGGGGGCATGAGCACCCTAAGTCGAATTGTACATTGTCCAAATCCACAATACAGTCAAATTTCAGCCAGCAGCATCCTCACCTATCAGGATTTCACTTCTCTTATAGGGCTTGGCAAGGAGGACAATTTCGACCTCCACCAGACTGATAATAGAAGGGCATTGCAATTTAAAAAACACAATTGTTCACCAGTTAGGGGAGATAGGATTCCCCATATTTTTAATAATTAACTAAAATTCTATCAAGGCTAGCTACTGTTTTGCTTGTCGCGATATCAAATGGGTTCAGATAAGATTAATTAAGATGGGGTCAAAAACACGTTTCAGATATATATTCTGTGTCTGCTCATTGGTTCAGTTTTAAGATTATAAAGGAAATCAAGGAGGTTCGGGCTATTGGGTCATTTTCAAAACTGTGCCCACCTTACATAATCATAGACTTCTCCAATAGAGCCTGTAATTTAATTGAGTGAAGGTTTACTGATAACATGTTTATTGTCCTCTCTCTCCTGCCCCCTAAGGCCCTTTGGGTATGATATATAAATTTAAAGAGTTGTACGTGTTTTAAAAATTAACAGTTTTGAACCTTCTCAAGTTAACCTCAAAAACTCAAATTAACTTACATTATTATCACATTATATAGAATATTTCTCGTATAGGTTTGGGAAAGAGTTTGATTCTACATTGGGGACTAATTTCATCTTTGGAGTTTTCTTTCAATGTAATAAAAGCTTCTGGTCTTGTTCGATATTTTTAGGCATACAAAGGCCTTTTAGGTTCAAATATAAATATAATTCTACAAATACAAGTCTAAGTTAATAGATAAAAATAAATTAATTAATTAAATAAATTGGTAAAATGAAATGCAGATAATTTTAGCATAGCTTTAGGATAAAAATGTCACAAAAGACATTTTAACATGACAAGATTATTAGGAATATGCGCATTTAATCCATTGAGTTATCTGTCTTATCAGAGGGTTAGTGAAGCTTAAAATATGATTATGCAACTTAAATTTCCTGACCTTTTACAATTTTACTCGAGTATCTTGGTTTTGACAAATGAATAAAATAAAAGGGTTCTTAAATTGTTACACCCATGCAGGCATATCGGGACAGGGCTGTGGATGTATTTTTGTATTTTGGTTGGGAAAGAGCATTGATCAATGGTCAAGCAGTTAGGGAAAAAAGGCTATAATAAAAGATTATGTTAAATTGGGGCCTAATTTTGGTCATTGATGGTTTCTGTTATGTCTCTAATAAGTGGGAAAATAAAATAAAAAGATTTGTAATTTAACTCAAGAAAAAATTGCTTTAGTTCAAATTTTAATTCACGGTTCTTAAACTCACAAAAGGTAATATGTTTGGGAAACTGGTTTTATTCATCATGAAATATAAAACATAAAAAACTAATCATAAGGCAAGATTTACTATTAATCTGCTATGCTAGCAGATGCAAATTCTTGGGGTTGAAGGGGGGAGGGGGGTAAACATATATTGTTCCACAGACATGAATTGAATAGAATCTGATCCATTTCCTGCAATGTTTTGTATGTTGTTCTCAGAAATGAGGCTATGGGTTTGTTAAAGACAGCAATTTTGCAAAAAAACTGCTGACACATATCATGCATATATCTAATGGGCATTTCTCCATTGAAATGTCAGTTCAAACCAAGTTGCTATGAATTACATATATGTCATTGGTGTACACCCCCTTAACTGAGCAGTTAGCATACATGTACTTTATGTTTATATATTAATGTCACAGGTGATTCAGATGCATCGTCAATGCATATATAGTTTACATCCATGTATCACCTACATGTAATGGGTACAAATGCAAATCTGAAGGTGTTAAAGATTCATTTTAGCAAACCTTCCCCAGCATTTTAGGGTATTAAATAAAGGACAGGTTGCCACTGCCTTAGCTCATACTTGGACAATCAATTTGTATGCTGGCCCATGTGGCGAAATCGTCACCTTCAATTCAACCATTGAACTATATTTATATTCTTGACTTGTTGTGGTTGATGTTGATATATGTGATGGTTGATGTTGATATATGTGATGTCGACTTTGAAAATTGTATCTCATATAGAGTAAATCTAAAGCAAAATTATGTAATATAATTGATATAATTAATTATAATTAATGTAATTAAAGATAATTTGTGTTGCAATGTGTCCGTAGCACGATTGAGGTCAACCCAGCGTGCTACTTTTCCCGTCAGGGAGGGCACAATTTAATTGTTGATGTTGGGGGGGAATCCAGTTTGCCGGCTGCCCCACTGTTGTGTAGACCACTGTGGACAATACCTGCCAACTCGAATAAAACATATAAAATAAATAAGGCATTTGTTTTAAATATATTTAGGTCTTTGATAATACCGCAAATTTGAGCTCGTCTCACAATATGCGTCGTTATCAAAGCTCTACCCTGTTATTAATGTCATCATTCGCTTCTTATTTTGCGAGAAACTGATGATTGAGTAAAGTCGGAATTTTGTCATCCACCCATACAGTGTCGGTACTTAGTCACTGTTTCCGGGTTATCTCCCCTTTTCTATGCATCAATCAAAGTGAAAGGTGGGTGATGAAAGTATCTGATATAATTTTTACATTTTGAAATACCCTCCCACCTCAACCCTTGAGCTAGGTGTTTAAGTATACCCTTTGTCCTTTCGTACATCTACATAGTTTTACATAATTGAGCTATACCTATATTTATTGACAGTTATGGAAATGTTATTGAGATTCTTTTCTGCTTTGGGTTTTTTGTTTTTGTCTTTTCAGAAATTAGCGGTGCCGTTGAAGGAGACCAACGATGTTGATCAGGATTTCCTGTTATTTCCGTTTAGGACCTTTTGAATGATTTCGGGCCAAATACAGTATCCTTTCGAGGAGTTCGGGGAAAAACTATACTTCACAGTGGTCAGATTGGCGAAATCGTCACCTTCAGTTTAATCATTGAACTATATTTATATTCTTGACTTGTTGTGGTTGATGTTGATTTATGTAATGGTTGATTTTGATATATGTGATGTTGTATAAAATGGGTTGCCTACGTCACAATGACTTGCGTAAAAAAGTATCGATCCGCCAGACGTTAAATTCAAATTCTGTACAAGTTGAAGTCATTTTTTAAGGACAATCATCTTTTTTTTTCTTACACCAACACGGTTTATAAAGCTTAAACTCCCCCAACCCAGTTTATACCGTATAAAATGAGTAGCTATTAAATTCATTCCTTAAATGTGTATATGTACTGAACATACATGCATTATCTACAAGCTTATCGTTATGAATCAATTAGAGCTATTATATATTAGAAGAGACAGACAGAGAGAGAGAGAGAGATATTACATGTAGGTCTCAAAAATTTAGCATGATTTATGAATTTTACAGTATTTGCTATTAGCGCTTATAAATATGGTATGTCAAGACGTCGCGCACAATATTGGGTGTCTTAATTGCGTAATTTGTAACACTTAAAGAAGAGCACTTATGGTTATTAGTCATTTTTCGCGTTTTGTCTGCACGTATTCTCCCGCCAATTAGCCCATAGCTTCTATGACGTCCTGTGATGATGTCATATAAAATTCATTTCAAAATAACCAAAAAAATGACAGATTCTGGGCGTCCGTAGAAGCGGTAAAATTTCGTAACATGTTGTGATTTAAAGACAAAACAAGACAAAATGGAATATTTGGTAAGGCATTTTGACTATCCATCATTTTTAAAAATAAAATTAAAGTGAAATATGGAATGTGCAAATGTTCAAGTAGACAAATGACTCTTTAAAAAGACATTTGTACATATTTTATGAGATTGGTCAAGTGATTTTGATGTCTAGTCAGTTTTGTTACTTTGCCACAAATTACGTTATTTTGATAGCTTACGAGAATGTACCCCAGAAAAAAGCATTATTTCTTTTTTTAAATAGATAACTTTTAATAGCTACAATCTAATTTTCAAAATGTGCAAGTTGAAAAAAATCTATGATTAAATATTCAAGATAAATAAAATCCGTGCGAAAAAAAAAAGGACCAAAATTTCGATGTCTAGTCTGATTTGTTACGCATTCATTTTTAAACGTTTTTGCGCCTAAAAGCGACGTATAATATAACGTTAAAAATAATATTTTGTGCATTTGCCTTTTCAAGGGAACGAATTCAACCCTGTCATCGGCAGAAAGAATAAAAATTAATAAAGATAAGAAATAACAGAAAAGGAGAGAACAGAAACTTAGGAGTTATAAAAACATCAATACAGAAAGAGCACAAAATCTACCAAAACATATAGTAAGACTTCAAGTGCTATTAAACAGAGAGCATACAATGAGAGAGAAAAACAAGAAATAGCACGAGAAAAAGAAATAAAACGAACGAGAAGAGAATACATGAAAATGTACAGGAAACGAACAAGACTAGACGATGCTCCTAATGACGAAGAACAGTTTTTTTCTAACAGAATGGAAAAGGCCAGGTACAAATACAATACTACATCTCTTAATTTACTCAATTGATATTGTTACCCAGAAGTTAATTTAACGCAAAATTTTAATTTAAAAAATTAAATGATTTAAAAAATTAAAAAAAAAAAACTGAGTATTTTGCAAAGATTTCAAAGATATATACTTGTGTAAACAGTATTATCAATACCTTGGGGGGGGGCAAGCTTCGGTCCCCGCTAGCCCCTTTCCCGCAAGTATCCGCGACTTCAGATATGTATATTTATTTATACGATAATAAAATATTTATTTTGAAAATTTAACCCTACTAAAAGAGATCATACCGAAAATAAAATTAATACATATTAATTATTTCCATTATTGTGGTTTTCTGTTTGCCAATCTGTACCTCATCTATTTTTAGAACAATAAAAAGACTTCGTGAAGCTCTTCCAAAAAATTCAAGCAAACGTGCGGCCGTACTTTCTGCTTATATAGATAAAAAAAAGAGCGACAAAGTCACCTGCTGTTGAGAAATTCCACTTTTCATTCAGTGACAGTCTAGAGAAATCTGCCTTAGAAAATGTGAAAGAAATCATCTCCACCGTAAAACAAAAAAGAAATAAAGATGCAACCGCAAGTTTAAAAATATTGACATCTGCTGTAAATGGGCAAAATTTGTGAAATAAAAAAGGAGCCGTTAAAAATCTAGCAGACAAGCTAGGCGTTAGAACCAAAACAATACTTAAAGGTCAAAGGACAAGAACACAAGTATTACACTCTGAACGTTCGTCGTTTCTTTATACCTCTCGAAAAACAAGGTCTGATTCCTTAACCGAGGAAACCAAAAAAATTGTCTTTAACTTCTGGCTACAGGAAAGTAATAGTAGGCCGACGAATAATAAGAGTTAGACTTGGTCCGAGACTATATTCGTCACACCCGTGCCATATATTAGAGAAGTCTCAGGCTGAAGTTTTCCAAGATTTCCAACACAAATATCCGGAAATTAAGATAGGACAAAGAGCAATTGAAAAATGCAAACCCTACTTCGTACGTACAGCACGTTACAAGTATAAATTAACTTGCTGTTGTCGCCAACATGTTGAAATGCGCTCTTTATTTAAAAACTGTATGCAGTTTCGCAAAAAAGTATTAGCCGGACAAGTTACATGTAATAATCAAGTTAAAGTATACGCATCATTGTCCGAATTAGTAGATGATACTTTATGTCCCAAATCGGCTAATACCCATCAGCATAAAATGTCGTGTTTAAATCGCGAATGCGATGGATGTGGTTTGAAAATTTTTTTTTTTTACCAGAGGAGTTAGGTCATAGTGATACTCAGGTATCGTGGGAAAGATAACTGATAACTGAAAGATAATTGGCCGATGACTGCATCTTTTATCGACCCATTCATAATCAAAATGACTGTGTAATCCTTCAAAAAGATCTCGACTCCTTAGCTAATTGGGAACATGTCTGGGGAATGCAATTTCATCCTCAAAAATGTAGTTCACTCAGTATCACCAGATCTCGCACACCAGTAAAATATAATTATAATTTAAAAGGACACACACTAGAATCTATAAAGACAGCAAAATATTTAGGCATAACATTATCCTACAACATGTCCTGGGAACCACATATCAATAATATAACTTCTAAGGTGAATAAGATATTGGGTTTCTTAAAAAGAAATTTGCAGATAAAAAATGAAGAAACAAAATCTTTGGCATATAAATCAATGGTCAGGTCTAACCTTGAATACTGTTCTTCAGTCTGGGCACCACACACAAAAAAACTCAAAGATAAACTAGAAAATGTACGAAGACGAGCTGCACGACATGTCACACATAAATACCATAATACAAGTAGTGTCTCCAACATGTTACACCATCTAAATTGGCCAGCATTAGATCATAGAGGGAAAATATGTAGACTGGTAATGTTATATAAGATTACACACAAATTAGTGGCTATAGATCAAAACCTGTATCTAGTACCTCAGACAACAACCATCACACGTAATACCAGTCCTCTTCATTTTCAGACCTACAGTACACGTACAGATTATTATAAATTTAGCTTCTTTCCCCATACTGTGACTTTGTGGAATTCTCTTCCACACTCAGTCGTGGCAGCAGCCTCTTTCGACCATTTCAGAACTCTGGTCCAAAGCTATGCTCCATAGCTCTTATATTTATAGAGCTAATTAGAGCACAATGTAAATATATATATAGATATACACCTTTTTCATGCACAATGTAAATTGTTTTCCATAACACTTAGTTTATTTATACTTTCTATGGCACTTAGTTTATTTATACTTTTTAAATTATAATTCAGAGGTCCGTTTGCGCAGGGCCAGCGTATAATCATCAGGTTTGATGGAACGCTGTATTATGTAGATGTAGATGTAGATATGAGTACAAAGATGTGAAAGTAAAAGGAGATAAGATTATTAAAAAACTAGTTCTCGTGAAAAAGTCAACATCACCGGACGAGATGTTTCAATACTTCAAACAAATAATGGAAACATTTCCTGTGCATCAGTACCGTGCATATTGGCAGTCAAAGCAAATGAAATCCTTGATAAATAACTTGCCAATTGGTCACTGTGTCGCTATTCACGACTTTTCAGAAAATTATAGATGCACAGAAAAGTGCGAGATTCAGTCATCCTATTTTCAAAAGCAAGAAGTTTCTATACATGTAACGATTGTTCATTGACATTCTGTTTTGGAATATGACGGAAAAACAGTTCCGAAAACGATCCAAATATTGTCACTGAACATTTTATTGTTATAAGTCCAGACCAAAAGCATGATCATCACTTTACAAATAATGTACAAAAGTTACTTTCGGAGTATTTGCGATCTATATCATGTGATGTGTCTGTGATGCATGAATTCACTGACGGGTGCAGTGCCCAATATAAAAGTCGTCATTGCATGGGAGACATAGCCTATTCATGCTCTGACTTTGGATATTCAAAAGTTATTAGAAATTTCTTCGAAACCTCTCATGCACGTGGGCCCCAAGATGCAGCTGGGGGTTACGTGAAAAAACAAGCAGATTTATCCGTTATTCGCGGATCTCAAGTTATACAAAGTGCGCGTTATTTCTTTGAGTTTGCCCAGAGTAATTTATCTCGCACAACCGATTCATCTAGATGTTCACGTCGCATTTTTAGGTACATCGACTCCGTAGGAAGGAACCGAGATCGGTATTTTCAACCAGTTAAAGACAACAGAAAAATTCACCAAATTTTTTCAATAGAAAACGGTATACTGCAAACTCGAAAATTATCCTGTTATTCTTGCGACCACTGTGTTATTAGTGATTACAATGAGTGCTTGAACAAGGGTCAACTTGGACAGTTTTCAACAATAATAATGAAAAAACAAACAGATCATGAAAATGATGAAAACGAAACCGATGAGATTGATGATTTAGATATTGTCGAATTGATTTCTACTGGTACAATTATTGCTGTGAAAGCAGATGATAAGGATTACCCATATTATGTGTTAAAGGCATCGAAAAAAAACAGTTGTTTTGCGAAAATGTGTAACCGACAAGTGTGGAATGTCGTTTCCGGAAGGAAGCAGAGTAGTACATGGGTACTATTTTGGTGTTAACAATGAAAATCTTTTAGAACAGAAACTTATAAAAAGAATACCAGCTATAGTGCCTGCACAGTCTGTCATATACATATGTTCTGAACTTGAAATTGACAATGATGGCGTTATAAATATTGAAGAATCGCTTAACGAGCGCATTTTAAGGAGTTTGGAAGAACCAATGTGAAGGGAAATTACTTTGCGTCTGCTTCTGTATTTTATACTGATTAATAACAATACGTGTATAAAAGTTATAAAATATATAGCTGAAAAATTTAAACAAAATAAACTGATTTTATTTATTTGTTTTTTGTATATATTAAATTCATAAAACACTAGAGACCTTTACGTCAATGTTTAGCGTTTTTAAATGACGTTATTTTGACGTTACAAAAAAGGCCCCAATATTGTGCGCGACGTCCAAACTTAACATTTCTAACACAACCACAAATAGATCAGCCGCTGCTGCGGCCCATACTTATTTCGTTTCTCAACAAATTTTAATAAAAACTTACAATTTGAAAGCAAATCAAAATATTTAATTGTACTGTGCTTCAAGCTTCTATAAACGATTAAATTTCATGACGATGGTCCATACAGATACCCCTTAACCATTATTCCATAGTTTAGGAAAGCAGATCAAAAGTCTTCAAGTATTACATCTTGTGGTTGTTTTCGACAATCAAAATTAACACAGTGATTATACATGATTATTAAATAAATAATACAAGAGATGTTTTTATAAACACTGATGCCCCAATGGCGATACGGCAGCTTATGGCGAAGGATAAAGTTTCTCAAATGCAAGTCAAGCTCAAAGGTCAAATGGTCAAAATTAATGGTGCTCAAGGAAAGGACTTTTCACATGAAATACATATGTGAAATATGAAAGCCTTAGCAACCACCGTTGAAAAGTTATTGCAAAGGTTTAAGTTTTTTCAAAAGTAAGTCAAACTCTAAGGTCAAAGATAAAACGTCAAAACTGTTGGTACCAAAAGGAAGGCCTTGTCATATGAAATGCACATGTGAAATATGAAAGCTCTAGCACCAACTGTTCAAAAGTTAAGCCCAAGGTTAAAGTTAATTAAAAGTAAGCTAAACTCCAAGGTCAAGGTCAAATGGTCAAAATTGTTCACCAACAGAAAGGTCTTATCACAAGAAATATACCTGTGAAATATGAAAAGCTCTAGTTCTTACCGTTCAAAAGTCATGACAAAGATTAAAGATTTTTAAAAGTTGGTCAAATTTCAAGGTTAAGGTCAAAAGGTAAAAAATATATACCCAAGGAAAGGTCTTTTCACAAGAAATACACATGTGAAGCATGAAAGCCCTAGCACCAACTGTTCTAAAGTTACTGCCAAGGTTAAAGTGTGGTAAAATTTTGCAAAAGTGGGTCAAACTCAAAGGTCAAGGAAAATAGGTCAGATATGTTGGTATCCAAAGAAATTTCTTGTCCAAGAGATACACATGTATATATGAAAGCCAAAGCTCCAACCAATCAAAAGTCATTGACAAGTTTAATGTTTTGCGGATAAACAGCTAGAAAGAAAGACGGAAGGACAGGACAAAAACTACATGCCCCCGAATCCTCGATTACGGAAGCATAAAACATTTGGATTATATTTCTCAAAATCCACAAATATAAATGCCTTAATGCCGTGTATTAATGGTGTATAATGACAACGATTTAATACCATACACTAAAGGTAAATGCAATTGAGTAATATATTGTCATATCTATAAATTTAAAAAAAAAAAAAGAATGATTTGTAAGATAGGTTTTACAACAGCTAGCTGCTGGTATATCACGAACGCGTATTCATTGCAGCTGTTTTCTGTCCTATTTAACTGAAGCCATAAAATAAATAACTTCACATTTCATGACGAAGTCTGTTGTAGGTTTTAATGTTTTTTACTTAAAATATTCTACTACGAAAGCCTAAAAAGCAAAACTAAACAAAAATCTAAATTAAATTCTACAAACTTTTATATGAATCAAGATTTTGTTCTTGATAGATGAATCTTGGTAGATAAGTGACAAGGTTCTCTGTCATCTATCTAGGGGTTTATTGTTAACTTTATTTCATTCTATTTTCTGAGGGTGTAAATCATTTCATGTGTCAATGCTCGCTCGGTGGTAAAACTGTGTCTATGAAAATTGAAATGGTAGTTCAAAATCAATGTACATGATGTACAGTCAAGAGAGTGTATGTAAGTTTTATAATTGTTCAACTTAATCTCATTTTGTTTTAGAGGAGTATTGTATACTTCTTGGAGCTTTATGTTAACTTTCCAAATTCATGAAACCGATGACATGCACCTATTGTCCACACACTATTTGTTGACCAGGTGTGGCCAGATAAAGCTGTGATTGATAAGTAACAATTCCAAAAATACTGGAGTAGCTGCATATATGTATAAAATAAAATTTGCAACGAGAATACAACTCATATATAATAACAAATAAATCACACGATATATTCATTGGACATTCTATATTTATCCCACTTAAAAAGAATTCCTTTAGAATTCAAGTCTACCCTTAGCTCTTTTCTCCTGCATGTAATTTATGACTCGCCCAAAGAACACACATTCAGAGAGTATTCATAAGCAATACTAGTCTCCTTCCTGCAAGTGTAATCTGGTTCATATTGAAAATTTATACCATAAATCCATCTAAAATCATTGAAGCGGAACAATATGCAAACCTGATCATTAAAATAGATTCATATACCAAAATTTAGGTCAAGATCGACAAGTGTGTAGGAAAAAAGTGTGGAAAACCAAGTTGAAAATCTGGTCTCCCTTAAAAGCGGGTTGAAATGCAAATTTGACCTTAACTTATCAAGATACACTCACACACCAAAAAATCAGCTCAATATTTCCGAGCGTTGAGAAAAAAAATGCAGAAAACTAAGTTGGACAGACTGACAGACAGACAGACGGACAAACGAGGAGGAGACCTATAGTCCCCTCTTGTTTTACCGGTACGGGATTAACAAGGACACTCTTGCTATGCACTTGCACTAGTAACATAATTCCTCCTTGTTTTCAAGGTTATATATCAGAGTTTGTCAATGTAGCATGATTCAAAATAATATGAAGAACTTGATGCCTCACGCCTAGCTGGTGATTCCAATGACACAGGACATATCTCAAAGAAAAGCAAGGGTCTTCAAATGAGGTTGTTTACAAACATTTTGTTCGGCCTGATCTTATATGTGTGAAGCCATTTGAATTACTTTACTTTTGCAGTGACTGCAATACATGTAGTCAATGAAGGATATTTCTCAAAATTTAATATAAATCAAAATTTGGCATAATCACTTAAGTAAGAATGCTGATTTGCATTTTAAAAATTAGAGATTGTGCATGCGTAGAGGGAAAACATCGTTTTTTGTCCCTGAAGAGAAAATCATTGAAAAGTGTACATTCAACAGTCGAGGCCTCTGCTCGTGGACTGTTAGTCTCCAGGGGTCTCTACAGCCCAGTAACTTAGTACTTCGGTACTAGTTTGAAAATACGGATATATATTTAATCGCTGTGGTAAAATTTAGAAATTTATTTCAAAATTAAGGGTTATCTCCCTCATGCATTGCTCTGATCCTTCGACGTATTTGGCTCCAGTCTTTGGCACATTTTTTCAGTTCATTCAAATCTTCTTTATTTAAATATTTCGGATTTTTGATCTATAATTACACCTGCACAAATGCCTATAATATAGGAGTGGTTAATTCTCCAGAAGTTCCGAGTACAGGAAGTAATCAAACAATCGTTCCTATTTGGTTACAAACTTCAACAAAATATACCAAAGTGTGTTTATTTACCCCTGTATTGTAGAATATTTGATTTTGCCAACATGCTTTATGTATCATTAAGAGTCAGCACAAAGTAACTGCCTATACCGCGGTGAAATCTTGAGACCAATACTTGCAGATGAATGTCCGAATAACTCTGATTATTTTGTGTATACCATCGAACCGTTTAAGCGATTTATAAACGACTAAAACTATAAAGACCACTTTTGAAAAATTGTCATAATTATCACCTAATGTACCTTAGCTCCTTTAGCAGATTGTGTTCTAACTCCAGGTCCTAAAAAGCCGAATATTAAACATTCTTGTTTTATATGTACTAACTCTAACAAAATATTACTATAGTAGACTATAGTTTACTAAAGATAAAACTATAGTAAAATTTTTGATACTGTAATATGCAGGTCCGTGGTCATTTGTATTTTGTCTACTTTCGTTTTCCAGAGTTGCGTTCTTGTGTAAATTACAAGAATTAAGTAAGTAATATTAGAACGAGTGCAGATTATTGATGATACAATGAACATGAATTATAAAAAGATTGATGACACCTTTGTATGCTGACTAGTATCTACTACGAAGATGACAGTTTATGGATACGTGTTGGTGACATGGGGCAAGGAAAATAAACAATAAAATATCGCATCACTCGTTTTGTGACAAAATATATACCTGCAATTGACCCTTGGTGTTTTCTACTTTGTTCTGATTTATTTATTCTCGCTGGCACTCAGTAGATTAACGTATAACGTATTTTTACATAATCAGTTTTGTTTACTGGATCGCCATTTGGTAAAGCCACACTTCCGGTGCAGAACTCACCAAAGGTATGGCCACAAGTTGGGTACTACGTCATGATTTATATTGGTAACATTGGGGTTCCGGTGAAAATAGTATATTTATACCAAGATTTACCAGTTGGGGTCGGGGGACGAGTGGTAATAACACACGTTGAGAATTGAGAGAAACAAGTAAGAAAATGTAAGTTTGGGCAACAGTTTCTATTAGACACCAAACATAACAACTAGATAACAGTAATAAACAGTCTGTTGGGTGCCAGTCATTTTTTTATCCCCCCCTCCCTTTTTCCTTCCGTTTAATGTCGTCCTGCATAATCATATGGAAATATAACAAACCAACTAAGATTTATTGGTATTAAAATATATTTCATATTGTACCAATCTCTATAATATTCTCTCAAATATTTGAAACTTGCAAAAGTTATTATTTTATTGACAACAGTACTACATTGAAAGTCTCGGGTACGTTACAATACTTTGATTAACTATCTACTGAAACTTAACTCTGAATTTTTTTTAAGATTTCAAAGCTTGGAATCTCTTAAATAAGATAACAGTAT